TAAATACTTAAGCACTTCAGGACAGATTCCATCGATTTCAGGAGCCTTGTCCCTTTTCAAGCAGTGATCTCATTTACTGAATTATTATCCCTTTATCGTTACTCTCTAGGCGAGTCTTCCTGCGGATGCTCACAGTTAAGGAGTTTTTCAAGTACCCCCTACATCGCTAAACTATGATCTCATCCTATCAGTGTGACTGCTCTCCTTTCCATCTGAGGATGCAGAAATACTGCCAGAATACTTTGTTTGCCATCTGAAAATTCGACTATAGCACTTCGCCGAACTTTTCCCAGCAATCAGCCCCCAATACCTTGAGCGCTTCCTCGTAATGCATTCGAGTTGAAAGCTGTTACCTTCTTCTCAGATGAAGCTCACTCTCTCTAGCAGCCAGCTGAACCTCTGGTGTATACCAGGAAGTTTGCTTCTGTCCTACAGGCGGCACGCCAACCCGTTTAAACCTCTGCATTCAGCGGCAGCATTGATTGAGAGATATTAAACAGCTTCCACTCGGTTTCCACATTAATGGTCATCACCAGAATCTATTCAACCATCGCGCGATGTTGTTTACAATTTTCGCTCTCGTATACACAGAAAAGTTTTCCCATTAAATTCCCCGGTTGTTTCTGCCACTATATCTTCAGAGGGTATTCAGTCGTTTAGGCAGAGGGTGGCAAGAACAAGTTGATGATCGGTTAACAGCTATGCGCCTCTCTTAGCCCTAAAGCAGCTGCTAGAAGCAGACTTGCTTGCGACGAAGAACATGGAGTTTGCCGCAACAACCAACATCGTCTAAAATAGGTGCTTAAATGATTCATGTTTCAGGGCACCAAATACAGTAGATGGCAACACGTTTATTGTCCACGCGTTTTGCTACATAAACCGTAGCCTCATCAGGGCTGTGCCCAAATGACTAGTGAAAGCATTTTTATCCAACAAGCGAACAGGACTATAGCTTTTTAATTGACACAAATAAAAACAAAGTGCTGCTAAACTGCTTCACCAGAATATTAACCAGCAGACACAAAGTAAAGGCCACGTTAAAAGTGAAATCGGATCTTTCGTATGCTGACCTGATTTTGCGTTTTGACTAATTCGTTTTGACTAATAACTATGGAAGACATGTATTCACATTACACCACCGGTATTTCATTGCCAGCATATGCAAGGATTCCTCTATCAGCAGATCTAATTTAAAATGTTCGTTGTCTATGACAGACACATCGGTCTGACTAAAATTTGGTGATCGCATGCTGAGCAATATCGGAAGTGTCCGTTTGTCCAAAGCGTACTGGTGCTTTCTAATCCGAATATTCAACTTCCAGTAGGTCTTTCCAATTTATCGCAATCTTTGCACTGGACTTTGCAAACAATAATTAACACCTCTTCCGAGTTAGTGAGCATAAACATCTTGCCCAATGTACTGCCAGTCTTGTAGTGGAATCGAAACACTATGTCTTTAAGACACCTCCAGATACGTTAAGATATCTGTGACATGGTATCTATAACGGTAAAATTACCACGGTCAACACAGGCGGGAATCGCTACGTTCGAGCTTGGGTGCAGAATTTCTTTGTCAAGCATTCTCTTTCGACAGCCATTCTTTAGAAACGTTTCGGATGCATATCAAATTTCCGCGTGAAGGCCAGAGGTAATGGTGCAGGTATCTTGGGCTCGTAAACGTATTCACTTTGCTAATAAACAAATCAGAAGAGACGCATAACGTCGGGTGGAGAAATCCACTAGAGTGGGGGGTCAATTGGTTCCCGAAGGACGGAAACCTCAAATTCAAGCGACATTGCCCTCTTCACCAGCACATTCGGAAAGGATAGGAGTGATTCACCTCTGCGTAAATCGTAAAACGTATTTGGTCATTGGCATCTTTACCGTTCATGCAATTCTTTAAGCTTTCTTACCCTTTCTGCTCGTCCTTATTTCACTGAACAGGAATATGCCATCAATGAATCGGACAGAGAACAGTACAGTAGTCGAAATTATGGCTGGCATTCATTGAGGGTTTGGTGATCCATGTAAATATCCGCTAAAACAACACTTACTGGGGAGCAGATCTGAAAGTACGTCTGATGGTAAACACTCTTCGCGAATACGAAACTGGTGCCATTCATCGCCAAATCAAACACTCTCGTCAGCTACTTCATCTTCTTCTTCATCTTCCACTGCCGCTTCTCCTTTTGGGTCGCGGAGGCAGACGCGTCAGACAGTGCTTTCAACGTTTCCGATCCTGCCAGAGTCTAAGCTTTGGCAAAAGAAAATTGGAGTCTGGAACAGACCCCTTCCATATATTTGCACCAGGTTCTTGTCAACTACTAATGCTCCAATTTCTCAACACGCTTTGAGATGTTCTCAACTCCTTCTCCGTTTTTTTCAAGATGTCGAGGAGAATATTAAGAAGCATGCTGGTATTCACATTGTTGAAAAACGCGGTGACGTCTAGGGAAACCATGAAGCAATCTTTATGATCATGTTCTTGTAACCTGCAGAGAAACTCCTTTTTGTCATCCACTCTATAGGCCATCGCATACGTAGCAGGTTACAGTAACAAATCAAGCTCTTTAGCAATCGAATGCTACTGTTCTTTTAGCCGGTATGATAACCCGCAACGGAGGTTACACAGGAATCAACAGTGGCAGGATCTTCTACACGCATTTTTGGGTGACAGTTGTCTTCTTCTGCAAATTTCTTAGAGCCTCTAGAAGTTTTTGTCGGGCTGCCTAGTCAGAGTTGCAATGAAGTGTTCCAGCAATTTTGCTCGATATTTCTTCACAGGTATCACAACTGCCATCGCTCTTTTTTCAGCGCAAAGAACCATCACGATATTATCCTTTATCCTTTTCTTCAATCCATCAATGACCAAAGTATGACAGGCGGTCAGGTTATGAAAAGATTTATGAATGTGATTTCGCAATAAGGACCACGTTAGAGATGATCAACGTCACCTAAATCATTCTGAGAAGCCGAAGCGTTAGATAGTCTGGGTATTCTGCCCTTGACGCTGATACCCTGGATGATGATGGCAACAACTTAACGAGAGCTTCCATTGTAGATCGTCGCAAGTTAGACGATAACATTATCATATCGATCATAGACGTTTTTGCATAAGCTTATCTATACCTGGTATACTGATTCGTGTTTAGCTGTTCAAATATGCTCCTACCAGAGAGTCCCTGACTTATTGTGGAGGTCGCTAGGGTCGTTATTTCCAATCATGCATTTTCACCTTTCAGTGTCTGCTGTGACCTGCGCACTGGCATAGCCAATTAGAACGATGGATTCTGTAGTGGGCACTTCGTACAGAGCACCTTCACCCCTCCGGGTAGTCCAGTCGAATTCTCCAGTCGAACTGAGTGCATAGACCTGTAGCAGGTCAAAGCTTCAGCTTGATGCAACTTCAGCCGGACATCGTCACTCTTTTGCTGTGATTCTGTAAACCACGTTAAGTTCTACCATAACACTAACACCGTTCTGAGCGCGGGTCGTGAAGTCGATACCTAACTAAAATAGCCTCCTCCTGTAGAGGCTCAAAATTCAAGATTCCGGTCACTCATCGACGAGAGTCTAACTATGCTCAGTCGGTATCTTGCTGCCTTATTAACCAGTTCCTGCTCTTTCCCACTGAGCGAGATGTTCTAAATTCTAACCCTGAATTCCCACTGACGGTGTTGTTCCTGTGGAGCATTATCTGATATGCTATAATGACAATGCACTGTGTGCCTCCTTCGTTCAGTTCAGAACTAGCAGCGGCTCTGCTGAATGGTATATTAAGATTCTACTCAACAATCTTCGGCAGCACTCGCCGTGCAGCGTTGCTACAACTTTAGCTGACAGAAACCGATAGACAGCTTCTGATCAGAAATTTTTTGCAGTTCACTTCTCCAACAGTTTGTGGGGCAGCTGGTAACCCGGGCGACGACTGATCCGGTAAACGTTTGGTTACGACATACTATGAAGGGGAAGTGGATAAGTTTAAACCCAACTTCAGCTAATAAGATTTCGTTAACTATTGCTATTGCATCTTCACCTGATCAATGGACGGCCAAATTTTCGCAGGCTTCGCAGGAAGCGTCGCACTTCCACCTCGGAAAACCCAAGAAACAACTTGCGTGCCTTGCGCGCTTTGGGTCTTTCTTCATCTGAATCTGACGCGTCACTTTCGCTCTTCTTCTTCCCCTTCCATTCGTCGTCCGAATCAACGTTTCTCGCCATCTTCAGAGAGAAGTTCGCTTAGCAGCGTTATCAGCAAAAGCTTGCAAAGCCGTACTTGCTGGATGTTCTTGCGCTGCCGCGGAGGCAAGTAGAGCTGTGCCTCTAACTGCTGCCGTTCCTCCTCCTCGATCTGTTTCCGCTCAGATTCCGGAATAATGTCGTCCCAATCTTTGTCATTGTCGCCGCTGTCGGCCATGCGATCAGACGTCAGATCAATGCTCTCTTCCTCGTCTATGTTGAAGTTCGCCACCTTAACGCGTGTCAGTATCAGAAGGAAGTTAATCAATCTGAATCAATCGAATACCCTACCTTGAAGGCTGACAGCAGTTCTTCACCGACTGAGTTGTTATCGACCTCTCGTGTTTCTGCTCTCTGCAGTATTTCGTCAATGTCCACCTGAATATACAATATTTTTAGACGTGAAAAAACAATTTTGTTAAGTTACAACATCATAAATGTTACCCAGCCACAACATGCAAGTAATTATATTTGGAACACTGTGCGTACTTCAGGTTCCGGGTCGTCTGAGTCTTTTTCCTTAAACAGTTCCTCTGCACCGAACTTCAAAATGGCTGCCAGTTCCTCCTTGTTAAACGGCACGCTACTGCTGGACGATACGGCTTCATTAGACAGTACGGTACGACCAGTGGTGTCCATACGCTGGATCACCAAATGATCTAGAACCAGTTTTCGTTTAGCCCTTTCGACGATATCCTCTTCAACGCTGGTCTTTGTTAGAAGTCGATAGATATTAACCTAAACAACATGTTTAAGTTCGGTTTCCAAAAAAAGCAAATTATTCTCTCATTTAGCAAGAAATGGCTGAAATTTTGATAACAGATTAAACAACAAGGCAATATATGACATGTGAGCGTCATCGGTAACAGCAGGAGAGCGACATATAGTAGCGCATCTATGGTTTAATTAGCTTTAAATCGTCCATAATCCATTTTAAATTGAAAAACAACTGCGAATTAGGAATGACTGATAAACTGAAAATCTGGACAGTAAGAAAACGGTTCATAAAAGATCAAATGGATCAGCCAGTAATTTTGCAGGTTGCACAGCGTCTACCGTTACCTGCTTCGTTTGGCCGATCCGATGAGCTCGACTCTGTGCCTGCAAGTCGTTCTGCGGGTTCCAGTCAGAGTCAAAAATGATTACCGTATCGGCGGTAGCGAGGTTGATACCCAGTCCGCCAGCCTTCGTAGATAATAGGAAGCAGAAGTCGCTCGAGCCGTCCGCGTTAAAGTGGTCAAGTGCCTGGCGCCTCAGCTCGCCCCTGATCGAACCATCCAATCTCTGCAACAAGAAACGATAACCATCATTCATGTCATTCAGACATTCTGCTTTTCTACATTCATCACCTGATAATTAAACTTGCGTAACTCCATGTACTCCTGAAGAATGTCGAGCATCATGACCATCTGCGAAAAGATCAGCACTCGATGGTTCGTCTCGTACAAGCGACAAAGAAGTTTGTCCAAAAGAATCAGTTTCCCTGATGATTTCACCACTTGCTAAACCAATCAATGTCTAGTGAAATCAATGAAAACATATAAGACACTTCATACACGCTATAGCACGATATCGGCATAAGGACCTGCATTATTTTCCCAAAAAATGAACAGATTTTCACTGGCATCATACTATTTTAAATCGTTTCAGAAAACCTGGAATGAAGGAGCTAGGATTCAATCGCTATAGCCAATTAAGGTAAAATATCTACCGACTGAAAGCAAAAAAAGTATAACGGGGAGTGAGTTTCAAACTCAAACTGAACAGGACATGTAGATAAAGATATACGTCGACTGAGCGTCATTTCATAGCATTAACCGATTACGACTAGTCTAACGATAAATTTTCAGCCAGCAGAGTCAACAGACAATTATGACTTAATTTGGTAAAGTCTGTTTTTACAAAATCTTTTTAGCAACCAGTCGCATCGTCGCATCTTCCATATGAGCCATTTTTAACTTAAGCCAGACAGCCAGCAACAATGAATATTCCCAAAGCGAAGTACTTCGACCCATCCAAAAAGTAAATTTACAAATAGCATGAGATAACAATTCAGTGCATGATAATGAATTACGTGAATCTGTCTTTATACTGTTTAAATGATAATGCTACTATTTTCGTCTTCTTCATCTTCATCTTCGTTGACCGTTTCTCTCTTGGTCGCGGAGGCAGACGCGTCAGATAGCGCTTCCAACGTTCCCGATCCTGTGCCAGAGTCTGAGCTTCGGCAGAAGACAACTGGAGTCTGGAGCAAACTCCTTCCATATATTTGCACCGGGTTACTCTTGACAATGGTACTGTGTACATTTAATTGCAATGGTTTCATAAACTTCATTTCAAATCCGATAAATTTCGTGGAAACTTTCTCTACAAGAAACATCGAATTACTTTCTGTAAACTTTTTCCTCACAACTGTAAAAAAACTTCCTCTATCAAAGGCGCATGTTTGCTGAGGCAAATCGTGAAAATGAACAGGATATACGGCATTAGGCACTCCCATTTAACATCCCGAGACGGTTTCGTTGAAACTTAAACTATGGACTAGAACAACGTAAAATACCATCAGCGTATTATCTTCCACTTTTTTTTCCAAGCGAAAAGAAAATATGAATCATGCTGACAACTGATGATTGCCTACCTGAAAGAGAAATTTTGCTTCACTCTACGTTCTTTCAAGATTATTCTAACTAGCATTAAGAATCTCCATTTACTATCAGGACGAATCTAACCTACTGTTCTCGAACTTTATTCTTTGTCATACAGCACCATATTGTAATCAGTACCATTCTATTATAACTGTGTTCCAAGTTCTAGCAAACACGCTTCTGCTGCATTCTCAGGGTGCTTCTATAATCAATCAAAATATAAAGACAGACATTGAGAAACCCCGAAAACATTAAGGAAATTTCAATATTAATTCAAGAAATACATCATGCTCAAAACCAATCTCCATCAAGAAGTTTCTGGCATTAGCATTCGCTAAGTGCTTACAAAAGTGGCGATGTATAATTCCATATTTAGGCAGCAAAAAAGTCTGTGTGACTGCCAAAAGAAAGAGAACATACCTGGAGCCTGTCCTGCAAGTTGCGAGCTTCCGTGTCAGGAAGACGAACAAGAAACGGGTGGTTGCAACACTTCTTCAATTCCATAACGATGTTGATGAATCCTGACACATTCCCTTTGACTCCCTTACTCAGAGCGCGATAGTTTTTTGTCAGAATCCACCTACAACAAAGTCAGAATATTAAAACTTAGCGAAATACATGAAATGCACCCCATGTCTATTGCACCTGATTTTTGACACTAATTTGCACTTTTAAAGAGCCAAAAAATCAGGAAGATCATGGAACATTAAAATGTCGTTTTAAGAATGCTGCCACTTTAAACACTAGGCAATATTCTCAGTATCTAAAGAGATATTGCTATGGTATGATAAGAATGATATGTTTTTTCATTGTCTATCTCAGCATTTAGTAGCTAACTGCAATAAAAAATGATCGGCAAAGGAAAGCGGTCACTGCTCGAACTCGCGCTGCCTACAGCTGACGATCTACAGTGGCAAAACGATTAGGAGCGGTCCACAGTCAGTTCATTATCATTATTATTACCTTAACTATCAGTTGTCATAACTGTCTATGTAACTAAAATAGCAGAAACTTTGAACGTATATTTCCTACATTACAAAGGAAAACAAAATATAACATAATATATAACAAAGCGTATCTGATCTAACTGGCTGCCAAGCAGCAACAACGGACACAGCCATTCCAAGTTTTAAATTAAATGTCTCGTTGTCGTCACTGAAGTTTTGAAGGCGATTAAAGGAGAACTCTCTGCTTATTACCATAGTATAATCCTTTCAAGAGTGACGTCATGTATATAGGTCCATTATTTGCCTTGCCAAGTTTCATAAAATGGAAGCACTATGCTTAACTCTCAAGATTAAAAAAGCTTATCGCGAGGTAACCATGGATACTCAGTTCGATGCTGGCTACACACATAAAATTAAATGGATAAGAAAGCCAATCAAATAACAATGACGTAATATCTTTGAAGATCTGAGAAAAGAGCTGAAAAACAATTTAATAACT